TYCYTTTWMCMWTYMAAWTTWRGRAAWTTKSCCMAMYYRATTAATACGTTTAATTCCACGTTTCAGATAAAACTTTCATTGAAATACGCTGCAGAAATGACTTTTCTACGTCTTCTCAGGACACAGGGCTGCAAGATCTCCTGTTTCATTCCTCATTTCAGGAGAGATTCTATCTCCTCTGCTTCTTAATCCTCGCCGACGTTTTCGTAAAGTCGGTCGTCGAAAGTTTCCAAGTTCAGCAGCCTCTGTAAGATACAAGAATACCGATATCTAGTTCAAAACAAAACTACTCCAACACCACCAACAAACACCAGTTTTCAAAAAGCAAACTGACGTAAAGTATGGATGGTTAGATCAGACTGATTTTCTTCTTCATGAGCGCAGCATGGTTCTTCGTTCAGCGCAATGCACCTTTTCACTCTTGCTCTTACGTGCACAAGTTACCAGTGATGAAGTTGCAAATTAGCCGCCTATTCACAGAGACAGGATTGAGATCTGCGTCAGGCATTCCCAGAAATTAAAACAAAAATGCTGAGGGAAATTAGTATCAATAAAAATTGATCGCCAGCGTTAAGTTTCGATAATGAAAATAGGAGCTTCAATGTAGATTTTATAAATCAAACCTCGCGTTGGTTCTCCACTTCTGTGAGTTCGGTCTTCAGCTTTTAGAAAGTTGGTCTCTTTTCGGGATCGTCCTCCCAGCTCTTTGCCATAATCACGAACCTAAAATCACAGAGAGCGTTATCATGAACAATTTTACCTCCCTGATATCTTGGTACAAGAAAAATTCCTCTAAGGGTTTTCACTTTGAGTAGACCTTAATCCGTAAAGGAAATTCTAAATGTATCGACTAAAGGAAGAAATCTGCGCAATTTACAGGTAAAGGATGTTCACTACACTCTCCTAGTTCTATTTTTTCTCAGAGGGAAACGCAAAACGTAAAATAGGTTTGCGCTGCAAAATCAGAAACAAGATCATGCGCGCAGCATAATACCACAACTGGAACACAAGAGTCTCGTACAAATCGTCAGCCACGTGCATTGGTTTAGGCATTCTGTATCCCTCTTGTAGTAGCTTGGGAATTTTCTTGCCATCCATCTTTGGATACGGTAAACCACCTGAAACAGATCGTTTGCTGTTACTAAACGCAGTCTAACACATATCCAAGAATAAAAAATAAAAATTCCTTACCTTTTGCAAATGGCGCGCCAGCGGGTAAATCTGAGCCTTATTATCTTTCTTGGTTGAAATAAAGTTATACACACCACGTCCATAATTGTAATGAGCTGTTTATCATTTTCTCTTAATCGGAACGAACAACCTTTGCAAGATGCGGTCTGGCCATAACATAGAAGTATGTTAACATTCTTTGATCTAGTTTTTAAGGAAAGGACCTCGGACAAACTTGTCACCTGAGCCACAAAAAAATTAATTGTGCATGAAATGGCAGCCATTGGTATTCCAAGAGTCAATGCAGTTCAGAAGTTAGACTCGACCACTTCATTTATGACATGGCCTGTCATCACCCTGACATCTCACCTATCGTAAAAATCTCCTAGAGGAGAACCCCGTAGCTCCACCTATTCAGAAATATGAGCCAATGATGAGTTTTAAAGCTTTTCAATGGAACAGCCGTGAAAATCTCGGCCTGGCGAACTATTTAGTGTTACAGAATTCAGTGCATGGAAAACGTAGGAAGTAAGGATATTCTAGATCCTCGTGATCTGATAGTTTCCTAAGACAGGCGGCCCATGCCAACTACAGTAGGACGTAATTACTCTTCCCGTTTCACTTGACTCTGCCGCAACGGCACCGGTCACCTTTCCCCAATACTCGCATTCATAAAGTTACTCACGACTAGCGAACGCAATTCACTCATACACCCAAGATTATACTCACACATCACTTTTTGTTGAATATTTTTCATAGAATAGAGCTTCAATAGCAGTCCATTTTACTGAAAGACGCCCCTAAAATAACAAATCAACAAACTGGCTTCAAAACCTTAGTAAAGAGCTTGAAGTTATTTTGCGACATTAAATATTAGCATGACAACTCCTCGTTTGATAACTAGATTATAGATCAGTCTTAAATCAGAAAAGCGGAGCAACTGAATAACCAAGTTACTTGCCTTTGGGAATCTCTTAAGTTACATCTGCACAGTCTCCCTTATCATTTTGCGTCCTCAAAAATAATGGTGCAGTACCTTTGTTAGCATGTTAAGATGAAACAAATAACGATTTGATTTATAATCGGAAAAAAATTCGAGTCCTAGATTGGATTCGAACCCACGACCCTCCGTGACCTGGTCGGATGCTCTAACCCCTGAGCTATTGGAGATTCTATGGTAGTCAATTTGTGGGTCTCTAATGGAAACGCATCGCGCGACTACACAGCTAAGTATTGACCAACGCAATACCTTTGTTGTTTTTTCATAAATGTCGTCCTGCTGTACATCTCTGGCCATGCCGAAGTTTCTAACTTTACATGTTTCTTTTTCACCCACCAAGACATTCCTGGCTGAAAGGTCTTGATGAATGATCTACAAAGAAACCAAGTTACTGTAATAGATGATTAGCGTGAACTAAATTTTAAAAAAACCCTGTTTCATATGTTTTATTTATTTATTATTTATTAAACTTCCACTGAGTTAAAAAAAAAATAAAAAAAAAAAAAGAAGGATAAGTAAGCTCAATAGTAAAACGAAAAGCGAAAAGCTAAAAGCTCAGTGAGGAACAATCACACCAGAGCAAGCTCCAACTAGGTGAAAGTCCAAAGGAGAAAAAAAAAAGATAGAAAAGAAATTGGTAATACAAAACTAAATTTATTGTCTTCAAAATATCTATCTAAAATATGCAAATTCCTAAAAAAGATAAAACATGCCTAAGTATAATAGTTTATAAGTAATTAGAAGCAACACTGGCGAAAACTAATTAAATTCCTGGTAGCAAAGCATTTAGAACACAAGGACTTCCAATTAAAAACGTTGTCCTGATCGAACGTTTCGATAAGAGCTTTTTTGTAACGTTTAATTAATGATCCTTTGAAAGAAATAACACTAGATAAAGTTCTTAATGACAAAGGCAAAGAATTCCATAACTTAACAGTTCCGTTGAAACACCTACGTCGAAAAAGACATGTTATACATTTCAAAGGCTGACAATCTAAGGANNNNATAATCTGTGATCCATTGGAACACAGAGCCATCAATACCAGAAGCTGCAAGTGTTTGTAATAGAAGGGAGTAATATTTGTAATAAAGTGTCATGCAGAAACGAAGCTACAACAGAAAACATGCAGAGAAACTGACCAAAGGCAAAGAAATAAAAATCCTTGAGTACATCGGGGAAAAGAATTGTTAAAAAAGATATTTTTGACATAGAAGTTACAAAATTAATAGAGAAAACATATTAATTGAAGGAGGTGATCCACTGACAGTGTTTGAGCAAGGATTACTCAAAACATACAATACCTGTTAAACTAATTTACTACAACTGGAATTAGAGCAAGGTTTTAGTTAATGAGTCTGTTACTATCTGGCAGTGATGACAAGTAACTCATTCCATTAGCAATTTGCCAAGCAAACCTCATTAGCT